GTTCCTGATCGGAATTGGTTGGCTTCTTGGTGCCGGAATCGGCGCAGGGGTTGTGATCTACTTCGCCTAACCAACCACCCCACTCCGAATCTGATTCGTCACCCCACCCGGCTCCCCGTTCCCGATTACCTCCGCCTCCACCTTCACGATCGGGAGCACCTTCCAGCTCGAGTTCGTCAAGAACACCTCGTCCGCATCGAGCAGATCATCGATCGTCATCATCCGGACCTCGACCCCGACCCCCAGCGTCTTCGCGACCTCCATCACGCGCATCCGCGTGATGCCAGGAAGCACCGGACTCGGAAGCGCATGCGCCTCCCCGCTCTCCTCACCGCGAGCGATCGGAGTGATCAGCTTCCCATCGCTGACCACAAACAGATTCGACACACACCCCCCGCTCAAATGATTGCTCACCTGCAGCACGATCGACTCCGCCGCCCCCTTCGCCGCGCTCGTCTGCAGCTCCCGCAAGCGCCACCAGTAGTTGAGCGTCTTGTGCCCCGCCGTGGGATCAAGCGGATTGGCGCGCGCCTCCGCAATGGTCGCCATCACCCCGCTCTCGAACATTTCATCCGGATACACCGTCGCCGGCTGCGCCTGAATCAGCACCGTCGGACGATGATTCGTCCCCCCGCCGCTCTGGAGCATGTTCAGGTCCCCCCCCGTCACCGTCAGCCGCACGCGCGTGTGCTTGTACCGAGCCCGCCGCACCGTCTCCTCGACCGCCTCACCCAATGCGCCGGTTTTCAGATCATCGCTCAAGCCCAGCATCGCCGCCGATTCCTGCAAGCGATCCATGTGCGCCTCCAGATCATCAACGACCACACCGTCCGCCGTGCTCAGCGCGTGCATCGTCTCAAACAACCCCACCCCGTGCTGCACCGACGCATCAAACGCCGAGAGCTTCGCCTCCTCGCGCGTCATCATCACGCCGTCCAAAAACACGCTCTCGCAGGTATCGCCGCTGTTCAGGTCTTCTTGCATCCCAAAGCGTACCCACCCCGCTCCTGTAATTCTTATCCGTTAATCCTGAGCATCCGCCGCCATCTTCCGCGAATACGAACGCATGATCAACACAGGTGCAATCAACGCGATCAGATGCAACACCACGAGCACCCCATTCCTCGCGTAGTGAACCGATCGTACATTATCCTTCATCCCAAAGTTGATCCGCTCGAGCCCCTCAAGACACCCACACCCGCTCTCAAGGAGCACCGCATCGCTCACCAGTGACAGGTAGTAACTGAACCCGATGATGCTCAGCATCGAGAACACCAGCACCAAGCGTCCAAAGAACTTCGTCAACTCCGATCCCATCACAAAGACCAGAATCAACCCAAGCACCAACTCCCCAGGACCGACCCACCACATCAACCCGTACATGCTCTGAGGCAGCACCGCATGCTCCGTCACCGTATCGACGAAAGCATTCATGTCCGAGACCTTCGAGAACCCCGCGAGCACCCACATCACCATGATGATCCCCACACACACCCTCGGCACAATCATCCGCGGCGCGCGATGACGCTCAGCAGACGCATCCGCAACACCACCCACCGACGCACCACCCATTCCATTGCTGATGTCCTTGGTAATCTCAGTTATCGGCGTGTCTCGCATACCCCAAATTCTCCATTACGCAAAGACCAACGACCGCTCCCCGAAATCGAGTTTCATCGCCTGCTTGGCAAGATAGAGCGTCTCTTCCGCCGCGTTGTTCGCCTGTTCGGTATGCGCCCTCAGCAGCTCCAGCACCTTCTTGTCCCCCTCTTTCCCCTCATAAGGCACCCGTCTTTCACGCATCGGCTCCAGCAGCTTATCAATATGCTCCGCGACCTCCACCTTCACATGACCATCACCGATGTTGTCCCCCTTGCTGTACGCCTCTTCCAGCTCCTTGATCCGCTCGTCATCGCGAATAAACGCCCGAACATAATCAAACAACGCGTTGCTGATATCACCAGGCTCATCCATGGTCTGCCGACCCGTGTACAGCCCCCCCATCTTCTTCTTGATCTGCTTAAAGGTATCCGTCAGGAAGATCGCATTATTCAGCGATTTGGACATTTTGTGCTTCCCATCCGTCCCGATCAGACGCGCCACGCGCCCAACCTTCCCCTCCGGGATCGGGAACAACCCACCCGCGCTCACATAGTCCTCATCCTCCGTATGCGGATCAACGCCGCAGTACATCTGATTAAACCGACGCGCCACCTCTCGACAAGGCTCAATATGCGCCAGCTGATCCTCCCCAACAGGAACAAGCTCCGGACGGAACAACAAAATATCCGCGCACTGACCAACCGAGTACATCGGGAACCCAAACGAGTAGTTGTCCCCCAATCCCTTCGCATCCAGCTCACTCTTGAGCGTCGGATTCCGCATCACCCGATTAAACGGCAGCAGCATCGCCAGAAACCAAGAGAGCTCCGCAATCCCAGGGATCTCCGTCTGCAACACAAACGTGGACTTCTCCGGATCAATCCCGCACGCAATCCAATCCTTGACAATGTCAATCGTCGATCGACGGATCTCGTCAGGCTTATCCGCACGCGTCGTAAACGCGTGCATGTTCGCGATCAGAAAGAAACACTCATACTGATCCTGCAGCGCCACCCGATTCTCAAGCGACCCCACCCAGTGCCCCAGATGAAGCTGCCCCGTAGGGGTATCACCAGTCAAAATTCGCGGACGCGATCCGTTGGCAGTTTTCTCACTCATAGACCACGATCGTAGCCCAATCCGCCCCATAACGGCTCAAATCACGCCCGTTTCACCCAATCTCCATCACCACTTTCTCATTGCATCCCCATCCCCCCGATGGTACAGTGAACAGTCCAAAGGAGAGGGACCTCATGAACAACACCCCAGCGACCGACAGCTCAATCTCCCGTCGCCAGTTCGTCGCCGCCGGAGCCGCGACCGCAGCCACCGCCGCGATCAGCGCCCCCGCACTCGCTCGCCCCGACTCCGCTCATTCAACCAGACCCCTCCCCGCGCCATCGCTCGCCAAGCTCCTTCGCTCGCAAGACGACCCCACCCGCGCCAAGCTCTCGCGCTCCTTCAGCGACACCAACCTCACCAGCCCCCTCATCAAACCAACCCTCGCCCTTTCCCCGCTCCCCTGCCTGAGCAGCCGCGTCCAGAGCGACTCGTCCCTCACCATCGAGGTCCTCCACCCAACCCCAAACGCCTACGCGATCCTCTACAGCGCCCACAACATCGAGATCAAAGATCAAAGCATCGCCGCCTACCCCGCCTCGACTCAGATCAACGCGCCGCGCGACACCCGCAACCGCGTCACCCTCCGCATCACGCAGCGGACCCCATCTTCCAAACGCGTCAAAGAAATCACCATCCCCGCATCATCCGCGAGCGAGTTCCTCCTCGCGATCCCCACCGCTCACCACGCGAGCAGCGCCAGCTGGCGCTTCAGCAGCGCCCAGCTCGATGAAGCCGGGAACATCACCAAACTCACCAACCCGCTGCCGGGCGTCTCGTCCCGCTGCGCGTATTTCAAAATCACCATCGAAGAAAGCACAGGAGTCTAACTATGGAACCGTTCATCGGACAAATCATGCTCTTCGCAGGCAACTTCGCCGTCCGCGGCTGGGCGCTCTGCGACGGACAACTCCTCCCAATCAATCAAAACGCTGCGCTCTTCTCCATCCTCGGGACCCAGTACGGCGGTGACGGACAAACAAACTTCGCACTCCCAGACCTCCGCGGACGCGTCCCCATCCACATGGGCAACGGCCCAGGTCTCACCAACAGACCAATCGGATCCAAGTCTGGCGCTGAAACACACACCCTCACCACCAACCAAATCCCTTCGCACAACCACAACGCCATCCTCCGCGCCTCAGACGCCGAGGGAACCTCCGCATCTCCCACCGACCTCATCATCGCCAAGTCAGGTTCCGGAGACCCAGACTACAACGGCGCCGAGATCAACTCAGCCCTACGCAGCGACTCCATCGCTGTAGGAAACACCGGCGGAAACCAATCCCACAACAACATGCAGCCCTACCTCACCCTCAACTACCAAATCGCACTCGTCGGGATCTTCCCCTCACGCGACTAAAGCACGAGCAACCGCAAGAGGTCCACCATGATCATCCCAACCACCACCGCCGCACTGCTCACGCTCCTCACAAGCACCGCGATCTTTGACCAAGACTTCGGAGAGCTCTCCCCTTCGGACTCAACCTGGGATCGCGTCGCCCAGACAGGCGCCATGGACCTCGGACCCTGCAACACCCAAGCGATCGACTCGATTAACAACGCCGTCGCCTACGACGTCTACTACGTCCGCGCCGCCACCCACACCACATTCCTCAACATCTCCGTCTTCTCGCTCCACCCGAACCCCATCGACCTCGACCCCATGCTCATGGTCTACTGCGGCGTCTTCGACCCATCAATGCCAAACGTCAACCTCGAAGAAATCGACGACGACTACGCCGGATACCCAAACGCGATGGTCTTCTCCTCAAACTTCGCCAACCCCGACACTGTCTACTCCGTCGTCGTTAGCTCCTACTCCAACTACCCACCCTCACGCTACGGCGACTACGCCATCGAAATCGGAACAGGACTCTACTTCTCCACCGCATGCCACCCCGACTTCAACGGCGACGGCAACCTCAACTTCCTCGACATCTCCGAGTTCCTCGCCCTCTACGCAGCCATGGACATCCGCGCCGACTACAACCACGACGGAAGCTACAACTTCCTCGATGTCTCCGCATTTCTCAATGACTTCGGACTGGGTTGTCCGTAAGCGAATCCCTACACACCAGTCTGCGACGCATCCGCGTTGATCATCAACGCCATCAGCACATTCAGAGCATTGAAACACATGTGCATCATGATCGGGACCCCCACCCGCTTGGTTCGCTCGTACGCGATCCCACAGCTCATCCCAACCGCAAAGATCGGCAGCAGCGCATGCCAAGGCACCGAGTTCTCCCCGCCAAGCCGATGCATCCCCGCAAAGATCAATGAACTGAAAATGATCGCAAGCCAGGGACTCTTGAGCCACTTGATCAGCGCCCCCTGCAAGAACACCCTGTAGATCAGCTCCTCGACAAACGGCGCCCCGATCACTGCCGCGATCACAATTGCCCAAACCCAAGGATTGCCAGGCTCATTCTCAAGCTTCACCAAAGTCGGATGCGCCATGTTGTTCGGAGCTGCACTCTGCGTCTGTGTGTACACCCACACCCCGAGCATGTTCATCAGCTCGATAAACGGATACGCCAGCACAAAGCACCCAAGCCCGACCGGCAGATCCAAGAAACTCAACCCTAGTCCAGAGTTCTTCGTCCCCTCACCATCCCCAGCACTCGCGCTCCGCTTAAGCACAAACAGCATCCCGAGTCCCGCGATCATCCCAAACAGGAAGTACCCCACCGTATTGATCGCATCCATCTGCGTCGCGTCGTACCCCTGCTCCTGAATCCATTGGATCTGACTGATCAGCTGCGGCGCCGAACTCGCCGCAAGGAAAACCATAAAGATCGCAAACAACCACACCACGCTCGGAAGCGAGTCCACATCCCGCAGCCCCGCCTTCGCGTACCCGCCCGGACGCAGCAATCCGCCCGCAAACAACAAGGCGATCACCAGCAGCAGCGACACCCCCAGAAACACCAGCTTCCACTGCTGCATCGTCTCCACCAAGTCCCCCACACTCTGATCCTGCACCCCGCTCGTGTCCACGGCCTGCGCCATCGCCTCAGGAGCAACGCCCCCAAAAACAGCCGCAATAATCACACACATGACCACACCAGAACCCATCCCACCAGTGCTTGAAGAAATCATCGCCCACAAACGCGAGCAAGTCGCCGCCGAGAAAGCAGACACCCCACTGTCCACGCTCGAGTCGCAAGCATCATCAAACGAACCCCCACGCAACTTCTTCGCCGCACTCACCGAGCACCCGCGCCACGATTCCATCGCCGTCATCGCCGAGATCAAACGGCGCAGCCCAAGCGCCGGACTCATCCGCCCCGAATACGACCACCCTGATTTCGATCCATCAGTCATCGCGCAACAGTACTCCAATGCTGGCGCATCGGCCATTTCCTGCCTCACAGACCAAAAGTTCTTTGCCGGAGACCCCTCTTACATCCACAGAATCAAGAATTCAGTACCTCTCCCCGTTCTCCGCAAAGATTTCATCATCGATCCCTACCAGATCACCCAAGCCCGCGCCATCCACGCCGACGCCGTCCTCCTCATCGCCGAGTGCCTCTCCGATCAACAACTCACCGACTTCATCACTCACATCGACGCGCTGAGCATGACCACCCTCCTCGAGGTCCACTCCGAATCCAACCTCCGCCGAGTCCTCCCCATCATCGAAAGCGCAGACTCCCCGCGCCTCCTCCTCGGCATCAACAACCGCGACCTCACCAAAATGGAAACCGACCTCCACCATTCCATCAATCTCAAACCCCTCGTCCCCGACCACCTCCCACTCGTCACCGAATCCGGCATCCGCACCCCACAAGACCTCGCCACCCTCAAAGCCGCCGGACTCAACATTGCCCTCATCGGAGAGCACCTCATGAGGACCGAGAACCCCGGACACGCCCTCGCCGCCATGCTCGACCAATCACCCTCCTGAAGAACACCGATACAACGACAGCCGTAAACCCTTATAGAATTCCGCAATACCACCACCCCTCACCCGTTGAGCAAACAACATGATCAACCACCGAAATATCCTCCTTACTTTCCTCCTCTCAATCTTCACGCTCACCGCGATCGCACAAGACGACCCACGCCAGATCCTCACAGACTCAGCGCAAGCGATCAAAGAAACCCCCGGATTCGCCGCGAAGGTCACGCTCTCAGGAGACGGATCCAAAATGATCCTCTCCACCCTCCCCTCAATGACTGCACGACTGACATTCGGAGAGCACTCCGAATACGGCAAAGTCCTCCATGTCCTCGGACAACTCCGCCCCACCGCCGAGGGCGCCCCAGAAGACTTCGACATCGTCTACTCCGCCGACCGCTACATCTGGTCCGACCACCCGAACCAAACACTCAACATCCGTCCCCCATCTGTCTCTGGACGCATCCGCCCCACCGCGTTCTCTTACCTCCTCCTCGCCGAGCTCATCAAGGACGAACCGTTTCAGAATGAGCTCGATAACGCCGAGAACTTCACCTTTGAACCCAACCAGTCCATCGCAGGCATCGACTGCCATGTCATCCTCATCGATCGCGCCAAACCCAAAGGACGCGCCGCCGCAGGAGCACACAACAAAGAACGCTGGTTCATCGCCGTCGAAGACAAACTCCCAAGACGAGTCGAGCAAATCACCGACGCTTCCATGATCCGCGCTTCGCTCATCATGGAACTCTCAGGTCTTGCGATCGCGCAGCAGTCCGATTCCGACCTCGAAGTCTTCGTCCCCGATACCTACAAAGTCATCGATAACATCCGCAAAAAACAACCCAAGGTCGCCGACAAGAACCAACCGTTCAACAAGCCTACCACAACCACCAAGATCAACCGCCCGGCCGCAAACAAAGCACCCACCGACCCACCCGCTCCCAACTACAGCTTCACCGACATCAACAACCAGTCCATCTCCCGCTCCACCCAAACCGATCGGATCACAGTCCTCTACTTCCACGGCTCATGGTCCATCCCATCCAAACAAGCCACCCCGCTCCTCTCAGACCTCTCCCGCTCCTTCGACAACCCCAGCAAACCCATCGACACCTTCGCGATCGCGTTGCGTGAAACCGATCCAGACGCCGTCAAGAGCGATCACAACAACAACGCCTACGCGCACAACCTCGCAATCAACCCTGAGAGCTCCCTCGATGCCCTCTTCCAAGTTCGCGTCTACCCAACCCTGATCGTCATCGACGACAACAACCGCATCACCTACCGCAACCACATGGGCAAAGACACCGACGCCCAAGCCCTCATCGATGGCGCCAAAGACGCGATCAACAAAGCACTCAACCCCGCTCCGTAATCCCACGCAATACACCGATCCCGCGCCCGTTGTGCTCCAAACACAGGAGCACAACGAATGTCTCATAGAATCCCACTCGTACTGGTAACAGCAACCCTCTTACTCTCATCCCAGCTCGCTGCAAGCCCACCAAGGCAAGGGCCTGGGATTACGCGTGTTACTCCATTCCCCGATGGACCCGAATACAGAATCGCTTCCTATTCACTGGTGCTCCATGATGACAAGAGAGATAAAGACCTCCCAATCAATGTGGTCTATCCGTACAGCTATCCAACCGAAGTAACCAGCCTGCCCACCATTGTGTTCTCTCACGGCGCTGGGGGTTCAGGAATCATGTACCAGCCCCTCGCACACTTCTGGGCAACACAAGGCTACATCGTCATCCTCCCAACACACTCCGACTCAATAGTCTTAAAGAGAGAATCAGAAGACGAGACCAATGTGAGTGAACGCAGGAGAATGCAGTCCCGCCGACTGTATCGACGCGGACTAGAAAACGGATCGCTCGTCGCCGGTGCAATCAACTTCTCCGATTGGGCAAACCGCCCCCGCGACATCTCCTTCATCCTCGACTCGCTCGACGAGATCGAAAAGCAAACCCCGCTACACAATCATCGCATCGACCGCGACCGCATCGGAGTCGGAGGACACTCCTACGGCGCCTTCACCTCCCAGCTCATCAACGGCACCGACCCACTCGGACCACAAGACTTCACAGACCCACGCGCCACCTGCGCCCTCCTCATCTCACCACAAGGCACCGGAGGACTCTTCACCAAAGACGCCTGGGACAACTTCCAAGGACCCGCCCTCACCATCACCGGCGACAACGACGAAGGTCGCGAAGGACAACCCGCCACATGGCGCCGCGAACCCTACGACCACTCCCCACCAAACACCCACACCCTCCTCTGGATCAACGACGCCTACCACAACTTCGGAGGCATCGCCGGCCGAGTCCTCCCCCTCCCAGACCAAGGCCCAGAAAACCCCACCCACGTCCAAATCGTCCAGAACGCCACCCTCGCCTTCTGGAACCACCATCTCAAAGACCAATCAGACAACATCGCTGAGTTCGCAGATTCACTCGAGCAAAGCCTCGCAATCGACGAAATCACAATCGAACACAACTAACTCAGATCACCTGAGGCACACGCTCACACTCAGGACATGCTTGAAGAATCTCGATTCCCTCTCGGCTATACCCGCACCCACGACAATGCCCGGGCTGGAGCCGATCCATGTCATCACCTTTGATCCCCACAAACCCCGGCTTCACCCCCGCAAGAGTCAATATCGTCCCGGCACGCGACAATGTCGCGATCATCATCAAAAACGATAACAACAGCGTCAACAACGAATACAACACCAACTCAATGGCACTCGCACCACACGCGTGCTGCAAGATCACCACAAAGACCATACCCAAAACCAACGACAGCAAATACACAATCGTCACCAAAAACGAAATCATCTCAGGCACCGCGATCGAGTTCATGGATGTCAAGATCATCCCAATCCATGTAAACACCAACACCCAGACAACCAACGCACTGCGTCGATGCCATTTCGCGATACACACCAAATCCAACTCAAAGATCGATTTCTTCGCCATCGTAACTCTCCATATAGGAACATAACAAAAAAGCCCGGCATAAACCGGGCTCTTGACTCAAACCTATACAAATAATCAGCCGTGCATAATCGCCGCCTGCGCCGCCGCCAATCGTGCAATCGGAACACGGAACGGCGAGCAACTCACATAGTCCAATCCTGCCTTGTGACAGAACCAAACACTCTTCGGATCACCGCCGTGCTCGCCACAGATGCCAATCTTCAATCCACTCTTCGCGCCGCGTCCCTTCTCGATACCCATCGAGACAAGCTGACCAACACCAGTCTGATCCAGTGACTGGAACGGATCCTCAGGAAGAATCTCGCGACCAACATAATCAGGAAGGAACGAGTTGATGTCGTCACGCGAGTATCCGAACGCGAGCTGAGTCAGGTCATTGGTCCCGAAACTAAAGAAGTCCGCGTGCGCTGCGATCTCATCCGCAGTCAGCGCCGCTCTCGGGATCTCGATCATTGTGCCGATCGAGATGTTGAGCTTCTTCTTGATCTTGTGCTCGCGCTTGACCTCGCGGATCACCTCGATCGCTTGCTCACGCAACAAACTCAGCTCCTGATGTGTCCCAACAAGCGGGATCATGATCTCAGGGACCGCCTTGATCTTCTTCTTGTCGCACTCGATCATCGCCTCGACAATCGCGCGCACCTGCATCGAAAGAATCTCCGGATAAGTAATCGCGAGTCGACACCCGCGATGACCCATCATCGGATTGCTCTCATGCAACATCGCGACCCGACGCCGCACCGCATCAACCGACACATTCTGGTTGTTCGCGACGCGCTGGATCGCCTCCTGTTCGTGAGGCAAAAACTCGTGCAGCGGAGGATCAAGCAAACGGATCGTGACAGGAAGCCCCTTCATCGCCGTGAAGATCCCCACAAAGTCCTCCCGCTGATAAGGGAGCAACTTCGCAAGCGCGTTCTCGCGATCCGAAGTGTTCTCAGACAAGATCATCTCACGCATCGCAACGATCCGATCACCCTCGAAGAACATGTGCTCCGTGCGCGTCAGACCAATCCCCTGAGCCCCGAACTCACGAGCACGAGCCGCGTCCTTCGGAGAGTCCGCGTTTGTGCGCACCTTGAGTGTGCGATACTTGTCCGCCCATCGCATGACCTTCGCAAAGTCGCCGCTGAGTTTGGGTTCAACAGTCGAGATCGATCCCGCGAAGATCTCGCCCGTCGATCCATCGATCGAGATCAGATCGCCGCGCCCGAAGGTCCGCCCATCAACAGTAAAGGTCCCACCCTTCTCATCGATGTGAACCGATCCCGCACCGGCGACACAGCACTTACCCCACCCGCGAGCAACGACCGCCGCGTGCGAGGTCATGCCCCCTGTGCTTGTCAGAATACCCACCGCGCTGTGCATCCCGTCCACATCTTCAGGACTCGTCTCCTTCCGAACAAGGATCACCTTCTCGCCTTTCATCGAGCGCTCGACCGCTTCATCCGCCGTAAACGCCGGATGACCAACCGATGCACCCGGAGACGCTGGGAGACCAACCGTCAACGCTTTGTTCAGATCCTTCGCCGCCGGATCAAAGCTCGGCAGCAACAACTGAGTCAGATCACCCGCAGGAATACGCACCAGCGCTTCCTGCTCCGTGATCAACTTCTCACGCACCATATCACAAGCGATCTTCACCGCCGCATTCCCCGTGCGCTTGCCCGTGCGTGTCTGCAGCATGAACAACTGACCGCTCTCGATCGTGAACTCAATATCCTGCACATCACGATAATGATTCTCAAGGATCCCCTTGATCTCGATCAGCTGCTTGTACGAGCTCTTGTCCCACTTGGACATCTCCGACACCGGCGAAGGCGTCCGGATCCCCGCAACCACATCCTCACCCTGCGCATTGATCAGGAACTCACCAAAGAACTTGTTCTGACCCGTCGACGGATTCCGCGTAAACGCGACCCCTGTCCCGCAGTCATCACCCATATTCCCGAACACCATCGTTTGGACATTGACCGCCGTGCCGTTGAGCCCGCTCATGCCCTCGATGCGTCGGTACGAGATCGCCTTATCCGAGTTCCACGAACCAAACACCGCTTCAATCGCTGCCTTGAGCTGCACCATCGGATCCTGCGGGAACTTCTTACCCACATGCATCTGGTACACCGCTTTATAAGAGTCGCAGAGCTCCTTCAACCCCTCTGCAGGAACATCCGTGTCTTCTGTCGCGCTGTACCGCGCCTTAACGACATCGAACGCCTGCTCAAAGAAGTGGTGACCAACCCCCATCACGACATCACCAAACATGTTGATCAACCGACGATACGCGTCGTACGCAAAGCGCTCGTTGCCCGTCAGTTCCGCGAGCCCCTTGACCGACTTGTCATTCAGACCGAGGTTCAGGATCGTGTCCATCATGCCAGGCATCGATACCGCTGCACCACTGCGCACCGAAACGAGCAGCGGATCACGCTCGTCACCAAACTTCTTCCCGCGTTGTTTCTCAAGCGCCCGCATGTGACGCCCCACCTCGTCCATCAATCCCTTGGGAAGCTTCCGCTTGTTTTTGTAGTACGCCGCGCATGTATCGGTAGTGATCGTGAACCCAGGAGGAACAGGCAAACCAATCGATGTCATCTCCGCGAGGTTCGCGCCCTTCCCACCAAGCAACTCGCGCATCGATCCATCACCATCGGTCTTCGCACCAAAGCTGTAGACCAGCTTGCCCGCGATGATGCGCTTCTTGACAACTTTCTTCCCCCCAACCTTGCGTGCAACCTTCTTCCCACTCTTGCGTGCAGCGCTCTTGCGTGCCGTCCCGGCATGACGCTTCGCCGACGATTTCTTTGCAGTCTTCTTCGCAACGCGCTTGCTTGATTTCTTCGCAACCTTCTTCGCGGCTTTCTTGTGCCCGTCCCGCGCTGCATTCTTCGTCGTTCTGGTCGTCGCCTTCTTCCCGGCTTTCTTTGTCACCTTCTTACGACTCTTCTTCGCTGCGGTCTTAGACACTTTCTTCGAACCTTTCTTCTTCGCCATAACACACTTTCTCGAACCGCCCCCCGACCAGCCCGTTATGAAACAAGCAAAACGCACGAAACACCCGCGCGCACGCATATTCCAGTGTATGCAACCACACAGACCAGACATACCATCTCTCCGTGATCCAAACCACACACAACTCCCCCTTAACACCGCAGAGCGAGCAAACCGCCCAAGCCCTCCTTGCGCCCAATCTACATACATCATCCCCCCTCGCCATCCTCCACACCCACCTCATCCCCTCCACCGATCCCGATCCGATCACCACCCTCCAGTCCCACCTCGACTCCCACCCCAACCACCACTGGATCATCACCCTCGCCTACGACCTCGCCCACACCATCGAGCCCACCGTCAACCCAACACACTCGACCTTCCCCCACATCATCGCCCAGCGATGCGCTCCATCATCCTCAACCATCAGCACCAACCAAACCCACTGGTCCATCACCCCCGACCAGCTCACCCTCACCCCCAAATCCCATTACACCAACAATGTCCGCCGCGCCCTCGATTACATCGCCGCCGGAGACATCTATCAGGTCAACCTCGCCCACCCAATCACCGTCCCTTTCCGAGGCGACGCCCACGCCCTCGCAACCCACCTCTTCAAAAGCACCAATCCCCAGATGGGATCCTTCACCTGCTTTGACACACCAAACACAAGCGACCAATCACGCCACGCCGTGATCTCACTCTCCCCCGAAACCTTCCTCACCTACGACGCCCCAACGCGCACCCTCAACACCATCCCGATGAAAGGCACCAGCCCCGCATCAACAAACCCCTCCGACCTCTACCACAACCCCAAAGACCGCGCCGAACTCAACATGATCATCGACCTCATGCGCAACGACCTGGCGCGTATCTCCATCCCCTCCTCCGTCCGCGTCACCAACCCACGCGCCGTCCACACCCACCTCAACTCCGTCCACCAAGCGACCGCGACCATCCAGTCCACGCTCCGCGATCACCTCACCCTCGCCGACATCCTCCGCGCCACCTTCCCGCCCGGCTCAATCACCGGCGCCCCCAAAGTCCGCGCGATGCAAATCATCCACGAACTCGAACACCAAAGCACCACCCCCCGCGCCCCCTACTGCGGCTCAACCATCGCCCTCGCACCCAACGGCTCCTTCAAATCCGCCGTCAACATCCGCACCCTCCATATCCAAGGCACCCCCTCCAACTCCTCCCCGCACGCCTTCGAATCCGCCACCCTCACCTACCACACCGGCGCCGGCATCGTCGCCGACTCAGACCCCGAAGCCGAGTGGAACGAGACCCTCACCAAAGCCCAAGTCCTCAAATCCACCCTCGACCTCCCCCTCCCAAACCCTCAATAACAGCCCGCAAACCCCATCACCCCCCCCTTAAAAGACCCAAAGTCCGATGATCAAGGACTTTACGCCATCATTCCCTCAACTCCCCCGTCCCGCACGCCCGATACCTATACCAAGCGCGAACCCTCGTTCACGCAACAAGTTACATCACCCATCCGTTCCAAGGGGCAAAGACATGAACACAACCGAACGCCGCCGATACAACCGCGTCGCCACCGAGATCGCTTGCAAAGCACGACGAAGCGCCCACACCATGTACGCGCCCGCCAAGACCATCGACATCTCCCCCGTCGGTGCCGCGCTCGTCATCGACTCCGCACGCGTCACCCACGAAGGCGATCGACTCGCACTCGCATTCAACTCCCCCGACTGCCCAATCCTCAAAGCATCCAAAATGATCGGCGTCCGCGTCGTCCGCGTCACCCCGCTCCCCAACTCCAACCGCCAGCGCATCGCCGTCGAGTTCGACTCGCCGCAGCATCACCTCGCCGACCTGGTCGCTTCACCAGATCAACCTCGCAAAGCCGCGTAACACACAAGCAACACTTACTTGAGATCAGAAGCTCACCTTCGGCGCATGACGAACCGAAGCGTCCTCGATCTCGAAGTACTCCGCCTTCTCAAAGTTGAACACCCCCGCGATGATCACGCTCGGGAATGTTTCCACAGCGGTGTTCATATCGCGCACGTTCCCGTTGTACAAACGCCGAGACGAAGCGATCCGATTCTCCGTCTCCGAGAGCTCGCCCTGCAGATTGATAAACTGACTGTCCGCCTTGAGATTCGGATACTGCTCGACAACCACCGACAGCTGCTTCATCGCCCCGATCAGCACCCCCTCGTCCTTCGCCTGCGATTCCGGAGATCCGGTATTGGCCACACACGCGTTCCGCGCCGCGATCACGCTCTCGAGCGTCTCGCTCTCATGACTCGCGTACCCCTTCACCGTCTCCACAAGATTCGGGATCAGGTCATACCGCCGCTTGAGCTCCACATCGACCCCGGCCCATGAGTCCTTGAGATGCTGACGGATCCGCACAAGCTTGTTGTACACCCCGACCGCCCACAAGATCACGATCAACCCGATCACGCCAACGACAATCAAACCGATGACCAAACCACTCATACCTGTTTCCCTTCCTGTAAATCCTTGACCAAGAACGCAGGCCAGTGTTCCAAAAACTTCATCGTCCAATCAAGCGACGCCCCGAACCGATCCGCGCCCCACGCCGAGTACCCGTCCGACAAACAGATACGCCGATTCTCAAGATCAACCATCCCCGGCTGCGTCTCAAGCAAGAACTCGATCATCCGCTGATTCACCACATCATACGCGAACTTCCGGCTCGCACTCTTCACAAAGTACTTCCGCGAAAACTCACTGCTCTCAAAGTCAATGTCGTCCTTCCCAAAGAACGACGCGAGCCGATCAAACATGTGCTCCCTCCGGATCACCATGTCAGGCATCCGCTCAAACGGCAGCTCCAAAATGAAATAACTGAAGTTGTGATTCACAATCCGCGTCCGTGTCGTCGTCCGCCCCTTCGAGTCCGTCGTCGTGGTCGTCTCGCGCGTCTTGTACTTGAAGTCGCCCGTGTTGACCCGACCAGTCCCACTCCAGCCCCCAAACTCCAAACCGATCTCGCCAACAATCGTGTTGTGCGCAAACCGAGCAAACCCACGCTGGAAGATCTCAAAGTGCCAGAACTCTTCATCGTGCGAATCATCCAGCTGCGCCCTGAACGACAGCCCATGCTGATCCGCCAGCGCCCGCATCGCCGCCAGCCGAGCCGCCGCACGCGCCTTCGCCTTCTCCGCCTCCTTGATAATCCACACGATCAACACGACGATCAGCCCAAAGCCAACCACCGCAAGCCCCACCGTCCCCAGAATGCCAAGACCCGCAATCATCTCCATGCACCATACTAGTTCGTAATCACGCTCCCGCGATTTCACCCCATATCGCTCATAAACCCCTACAATCCCCCATGCTCTGGCAACCATCCATCCCCGATTCCTACCACACGCTCTCTGAAGCGGAACTCACCGCGCGCATCGAGGACCGCCGCAAACAACTCGGGACCTCCCTCCTCATCCTCGGACACCACTACCAGATGGACTCCGTCGTCCAGCACGCCGACTTCATGGGAGACTCCCTCAAGCTCGCGCAGCTCGCCGCCTCCGTCGTCGAGGACCGCGCCAAAGCAAACACCCCCGTCTCCCACATCGTTTTCTGCGGCGTCCACTTCATGGCAGAAACCGCAGACATCCTCACACCCGACTCCGTCGAGGTCATCCTCCCAGACCTCTCCGCAGGATGCTCCATGGCCGACATGGCCGACTACGAGCAAACCGTCGAAGCGTGGGAACTCATCCACGAAGCCTTGCATGACTTCAATACAGATCAGCCATGGACCGGCCGCATCATCCCCATCACCTACGTCAACTCCACCGCCGCCATCAAAGCATTCGTCGGAGACCACGGCGGCGCCTGCTGCACCTCCTCCAACGCCGGACAAGTCTTCGAATGGGCCATGAACGGCGGCACCAAACCACGCAAGGAGGGCGAAGACATCAAAGTCCTCTTCCTCCCAGACCAACACCTCGGACGCAACACCTCCGCCGCCTTCGGGATCGACGTAACGCGCAATACCTGCGTCTACGACCCCAAGAAAACAGAGCGCGGAGAACCACTCGGAGGAGCGTCCGCCCAAGAGTTATACAACGCCGCAACCATCTTGTGGGCAGGACATTGCAGCGTCCACAAACTCTTCGCACCAGAACACTGCGCCCAGATCCGCGAGGACAACAAAAACCTCGAAGCAGGCGTTGAACCCATGCAGATCCTCGTCCACCCCGAGTGCTGCAAAGAAGTCGTCGATCTCGCCGACCTCGCCGGATCGACCGAGTTCATAATCAACACGATCAAGAACGCCGCACCAGGAACCCGCTGGGCCATCGGCACAGAAGTCCACCTCGTCAACCGACTCGCCAACGAGCACCGCGAGCGCGGCGTCGAAGTCACCATGCTCTCCGACTGCCAGTGCCTCTGCACCACCATGTACCGCATCAACCAGCCCCACCTCCTCTGGATCCTCGACGGCCTCTGCGCCCTCAACCCCGACGGACAACCCACCAAAGACAACAAACCCATCACCCGAAACGTCGTGAGCGTCCACCCCGAAGCCCAACGCCTCGCCGTCCTCGCCCTCGACCGAATGCTCGCCCACACCGGCGGCGGCGCCGTCAAAGTCTGACCAATCTCTCCTCCCCCGGGCCTCCGGGGGAGGTGTCGCGCAGCGACGGAGGGGGTCTTCATCCCCAAGCGCACAAACCACGTCCGTAAGCAATCACCAACAACCACAACCGTGCGCCTTTCTAAACTTTCTCGCGCCTTCTCAACACTTTTGAGCAAAATCGCCCCAATCGCCGATTGTTCCACGTGGAACATTCTCACCCACATCCCGCCGACGATCACCTCCCCGGACTGAGCGACAACCTCGCCTCGGAGATTTCACGCTGGGCATTCTTCATCTGCGGCCTCATTCTCATCATCGCCGCCGCGACGCTCCCGCTCAAAGCCGACCTCGACTACACCCGCCATCAACGCGACCTCGCGATGGTCGTCGAACAAGAAAATGTTGCACGAAACGCGTCATACCAAACCATGCTCGACGCGATCGAATCCAAAAATCCCGACACACTCCGCCTGCTCGCGCAGTCCAACATGGGACTCATCCCGGCATCGCACGAGGCATTGCTCGTACCACGCGAGCGGCGCGATCCGATGGTGTTCGAACTGCTTGAACCTCAGCCGCTGGCGCGTCCGGAGTTCTCGCCGCAGTATTCTCGGCTTGAGCGTTTGGTCATGATCCCCAAGTCCAGACTCTGGGTCATCGCGGGTGGGATCTTCTGCGTGCTGATCGGACTCCTCCCAGCCGCGGAACCCAAGTGAATCTGACCTTGATCGGCTAGAGTCTCTGTATGCCGAGCGTTGTGCGCTATCCAGTGATTGTGGGACCTACTGCGGGCGGGAAAACCGCGCTGGGAGTCGCGCTGTGTCAGGAGTACGAACGCCGTGGACTCCCGATCGGACAGGTCATCACGGCGGACGCGTACCAGATCTATCGAGGTCTGGACATCGGAACCGCGAAGCCGACGGCGGAAGAAATGCAAGGCGTCGCGCACCATCTGATCGACATCGTTGATCCGACAGAACGATTCACAGTCGCGGACTGGATTGATCGCGCTGGTCCACTCACGGATCAACTCATCGCACAAGGCGTGCATCCTGTCGTTGTTGGCGGGACCAACCTGTACATCCAGACCTATCTCGACGGCATGTTCAGTGCGCCTGAGCCGAGCCATGAAGTCATGGAACAGGTGCAGTCGATGGAACAAACCGAGCGCCGCGCTAAGCTGCTGGAAGTTGATCCGGAGGCGCACGAGCGGATCGATTCCAACGACCTGCGCCGAACGCGGCGGGCGCTTGCGGTGTATCTGCAGACCGGCACTCCGATCAGCGAGCTGCAGCGCCAGTGGGATCAGGAGGACCACGCGCGCGATGGAGCGGTGCTGGTCGGATTACACTGGGACAGCGAACTGATCAATCCGCGCATCAATCAGCGCGTAAAGATCATGGTTGAGATGGGGCTCGTTGAGGAAGTCCGCACGTTGTGGGAGTCGGGGAAGCTAACAGATCAGTCCGCGCAAGCGATCGGGTACAAGCAGCTTATTGAACACTTCGAGCGGCGATGCTCGCTTGATGAAGCGATCGAGCGGATCAAGATCGACACGCGGCGGTTTGCGAAAAACCAGCGGACATGGCTCAAGCGATTCCGAGGTCGTCGGAGTGGATCGATCTGGATCGACGCGCCGGATCGGGATGCGGATACCATGGCGAGGGAGATCGTGGACCGATTGATGGAAGCCGCGGCTGGTTAGGAACGGACGAAGGGACGAGGAATCGATGGACTCTTGGTATCTGCTGCTTGATATTCTGATCCTGCTGGGCGGGGCGCTCGTGCTTGGGGTGGTGTGCGAACGCTTGCGGCAGTCGCCGATCCTTGGGTACCTCGCGGCGGGGACATTGCTTGGTCCCAATGCGCTGCAGGTGGTCTCGACGGCGGATGAGGTGACGGTGCTCGCGGAGCTAGGGGTGGCGCTGCTGCTGTTTACGATCGGGCTTGAGTTCTCTTGGCCGAGACTGAACAAACTCGGCGCCGCGGCGTTTGGTGGCGGGACGGGACAGGTGCTCGTCACGATGGGGCTCGCGGCGGGGTGCGCGATGATCTTCAGCATGCCTTTCCGGACATCGATCGCGGTCGGCGCGATCGTGGCGCTGAGCAGCACGGCGGTGGTGCTGCGTTTGCTGATCTCGCGCGCGGAGATCGAGAGCGCTCACGGTCGGCACGCGCTGGGGATCCTGCTGATGCAGGATGTTGCGGTGGTGCCTTTGGTCTTGCTCGTCACGCTGATCGGCGGCGACGGTTCGATGAAGGACATGAGCAAGGACATTGTCCTCGCGATTGTCGGCGCGCTTGTGCTGGTGGTGGTGCTGTATGTACTGCTCAACAAGGTTGCGCCAAAGGTCATGGGGCTCGGGGAGATGCAGCGGAATCGCGATCTTCCCATTCTGCTCGCGATCGTGATCGGATTGGGATCGGCGCTTGGATCGCACAAGCTCGGGCTGTCTCCGGCGCTGGGCGCGTTTGTCGCGGGGATGATCCTCGCGGAGTCTCCGTTTGCGACGCAGATCCGCGCGGACATCGGTTCGATCCGGACGCTGCTGGTCACGCTGTTCTTTAGCTCGATCGGTATGCTTGGTGATCCGGCGTGGTTCTTTAGTCATCTCCCATCGGTGCTGGGGTTTGTCGCGGCGATCGTGATCGGGAAGAGTGTGGTGGTCTGGATTGTCCTCAAGTGTTTCGGGCTCACGCATCGGCACGCGCTGGCGGCGGGGATCTGTCTAGCGCAGGTCGGTGAGTTCTCGTTCGTGCTCGCGGCGGTGGCGCGAGGGACGGTCATCAGCGAGGAGCTGTTTACGCTGATCATCTCGTCGACGATTGTGACGCTGTTCTTGACGCCTTATCTGGTGGCGTTTGCGCCGAGGGTTTCGGGGATGGTGGTCGGCACGCTCGAGCGGATCGGTGTGGTCAAGGCGGTCGCGGTCGAGACGGCGAGCGAGCAGTCGGTCGCGAGCGATCGGCTTGTGGTGATCGGGTTTGGTCCGGCGGGAGAGGCGGTGGCGCACGCGCTGGAGGGGCACGAGGATCGCGTGACTGTTTTAGATCTGAATCCGGCGAGTATCCGGCGTGCCAAGCAGCTCGGCTACTCGGCGCACATCGGCAACGCGGCGCAGGCGGAGGTCCTGGAGCACGCGGGCATCGAGCACGCGAGCGCGGTGGTGGTGACGGTCCCCGATCCGGCGGCGGCGCGGGAGATTGTCGGGCTGATCCGGATGCTGGCGCCGGGGGTTCACGTGATCGCGCGGGCGCGGTATCACCGGTACTTCGAGGAGCTGCAGCGCGGGGGCGCGGATGATGTGGTCAACGAGGAGTGGATCGTCGGGGCGATCCTCGCGTCGCGCGTGCGGGCGCGGCTGCGTCGCGATGAGCATGCTGAGGATGAAGCGGCTGCTACTGAAGAGGAATGAGCAGGCTGGTTTAGTCGTCGAGTGAGATGGACTTGGGTCCTTCGTTTCCGGCGGTGCGTTCCATGTAGCCGTCGCCTCGTTTTTCGTATTTGGTGAATCCGAGGCGTGAGAGGTTCTCGTTGGAGAGCTGGGACTTGCCTTTCATGTCGGACCATTTCCCGGCGATGTTTGGCGCTTGGATGACGCGCTGGACAGGTCGTCCCTCGTGCTCGGTGAGCGCGTCTTCGGACATCTGCTGGACGATCTCGAAGGTGGGCTCGTCGGTGGGTTGTCCTTTATCGTCGAGGTATTGGTAGACGTAGATGGGCATGGTGTTTCCTATCGGCTGATTGGGTGGCTGGGTTAGCCGAAGATTTGTCCTGATTCGGTGTCTTGCATTTTCCAACCGGTGGCTTTGCAGATTCGTTGGAGGACGGGCCACGCGAAGTCGGTGTTGTAGACGACGACCATGACTTGCATAAGTGAGTCGTGTCCTTGTGCGTATTCGACGGTGTATCCCGGGCCGTGGAGGACCATGGTGCCCATTCGGGTGATCTCGGCGCCGTCTGGGAGGGTGTTGAAGCGGGCGAGTTCTTTGCAGACTTCTTTGGGGGTGCCTAGCGGAAAGTTCCCGACCATCGGGTCGTCGGTGTTCTTGGGTTTGGTGAAAACGAGGACTCGTTTTTTGGATTTGGCCATGGTTGAGTGATTGTAGGTTGATTTAGTCGTCGTCGTCGATCTCGTCGTCGTGCTCTTCGATGAGCTTGACGGCGGTATCGAGGAGGAGTGAGAGGGGGACTGGTTTCTGGAGGTAGGCGTCTACGCCGAGGGATTCGCCGTAGGCTTGGTGGCGTTGACCTTCGTTGGCAGTAACCATAATGACGATGGGTGAGTTTTCGAGTCCCTTGATGCGTTCGAGGACGAGGAATCCGGAGCGTTTGGGGAGCATCATGTCGAGGATGACGAGGTCTGGTGGGTCCTCGTTGCAGATGCGGACGGCTTCGTCGCCGTCGGATGCGGTGAGGGTCATGGCGTCTTCGGACTGGAACGCGGCGTCGAAGGATTCGAGGATGTCGCGTTCGTCATCAACGATGAGCACGCGGACATCGGCGAGGCGTCCTTCGTCGTAGCTGTCGTCTTTGTTGTGGTCCATGGTTGTCCTCGTGTGCTTGTCGATTGATTACTTGAAATGGGTGATGTTGTGTTCCTGCATGTACGCGCGGTCGCGGTCGGAGCGGTCGATGATCTGCGCGAGTTCCTCGTCGGTCATCCATGGGAGCGCGGCGAGCTTGTCTTTGAGCGCGCTTGGGAATGGCTTGTTGAGGCGTTCGTGGCGCGGTCGGCTCTTCCAGATTCGGTGCATCCAGAGGTATTGTTCCGGGGAGTTGCGGATCATTTGCTCAATTGATCGGCGGTAGCGTGCGGTGATGTAGTACAGGGGATCGGGCTGGTTGTTCCAGTCTTCGCTTGAGAACTGGTCGACAACCTCGATGCGGTAGCGCATCGCTTTGTCTGATCCGGGCTCGACGGGGAGTCTTCGTGCTTGTCCGATGAGGATGTTGGCGTTGAACTGCAGCGCGGTGAGTCCGATGGATTTGTAGCTTGAGGCGAGGCGTCCGAAGTATGGGACCTGGAGTCCTCGGTCTCCGGCGTTCTGGTCGGCGACGAAGGCGACGGCTTCTCCGCGTTGCATGAGTTTGGGCATGGCGCGCATGGCGCCGAACTTGTCGAGGAGGTCGAGTCCGCGGCGGGAGCGGGTTTGGCGGACCCAGTCGTCGGCGGGGCGGAGGTCGAGGGGTCGGTAGATGGCGTGCATGTTGAAGCCGAGGAGGGCCATGGTGTATCCGACGATTTCCCAGTTGCCGCAGTGTCCGGTGAGGAGGAGGGTGGGTTTGTCGTTAAGGAGGGGACGCATGACGGACTGGAGGTTTCCGAGTTCTACATAGTCGGTCCACGCGTCTTCGGAGAGG